CTATATATAGATATATTGCCTATTCGATACTTATTTTCCATTCCGAATATTATTCCTTAGAAAGCTAATCTGTTAAAAACACACCAGTTTTTGGGGGGGGAAGTTATCTATACTTCACCAGTTACTGCAACTATATTATTATAAATATTCATATATGCTCATAAGTAAGATAACGATCATAATAAAACAAGAATATGAACTGACCACACGGAACGAGATGCAAATTATTAAAATCTGGAGAAATTCAAACGTGTGTAGTATTTGGTGGAGGAAAAAAATACCGAATGTACTGGAATTTCTTCCATTTCGCAATTCTTGACCAGAAACGACATGTACCTGTCTGTACTCTCGCGCGCACCAAGGTTACGTTAATGCAGAAAGGGGGAAAAAGCATTTCTGGGAGTATGATTCACCATCTGACGTTGCATATAGGAAGAAAAGTTGTTTATTAATTCGGTTTGGTACAGGGAAAAAAAATGTGCGTTCATTAAAAAAAAAAAAAAGCACTAAAAGCAAAAAATAAGAACTAAAAACATAAATATAAGGGCTTTAAAGAAAAAGTAAGTACCTATAAGGGCCTTTATATTTTATTTTCAAATATAAGGACATATAAGCACTTGTAAGGTGTAGAAGCCCAAGCACTATTCCACTGTTAATATGACTTGAGCTGCACAAATCCTGAGAGGAACCCTCCTATGTGATCATGAAACTGAATGACCAAATGATGCTGACTTAATGAACTTCTTCTACTCAACCTAAAGAAGAGCTTTATGATAGATATGACCTCACTATGGCAATGAAGATTTGTTGCCCATTGTCTTGGGGATTGCACTGCTAATATGTGCAACACAATGAAGGAGGGGGTGATGCTGTAAAATTCTGTAAATATTTAAATTCAGTTGATTGCACTGTTATTTTTATATATTGCTGTAATGTACATTATTTTATTTAGTGATTTATTTATTTGTGTCATTTTAGTGTGATAATATTATCACACTAAAATATTATACTTATTTTATGTGCAATTGAATTTGTCACGACATATTTTGTATTTAAGTGTTACTTCTTCGTAGAACTATAGATCTTTCAATTCTGAGTCCAAAAATGTTTAAATTGCAAAAATAGCTCAAATAGAATACGAGATATAGGCAGAAACACACTTTACAAGGATTTACAAATGTTTCCAAGTTGGCAACTTTCTAGATTTGAGAAACGTTTTGAAGCTGACTGATTTTTGTCAAGGCTTCCGAGCCTATGCAACATTATATAAATGTGTTTATATGATGTATACACACATTCAGAATGCCATGTACAAAAATTAAGGAGTGACAGGGAACACATTTACATATAAAGGCAGAGCCAGAAATGGATAAGTGGCAGACACACACATCAGTACTCCTGAGTTTATCTACACCTGAGACTTCAGCATTAAAGCTTGTTATACCTTAAGAATGCTGCTTAATAAATGCTGAGTTGACGGACATAATGCATGTCCATCTAATGGATGAGCCTCTGTAAAAATGTAATGAGAAAAATACCCAATCACACAAAAACCACACCAAATATTATTGCATTTTCATCAGAACCTATATAAACATAGATCTTTCACAGTTAAGATGAAAGATATTAGGTGGCAGAAAGAGGATGTATTGCATGCTGTGGACAGAAATCCAAGAATAAGCATATTTATATTTTGCACTGCACCCGGAGCATCTTGAAGCAGTTTATGGGACACTATGCACCTTACATTCATTTCATCTGTAATGCATTATGCTACTGTAAAAGAGAAATATCCACAACATGGGACATTTGTGCAGTGGTTTCTACAACAAAAGAAGGACGACCTAAAATCCACTCACTATGTTCTGTTTATAGGCGAAATGTCCTTTCACCATTAACCCCTTAATTGCCGTGGAAAACGTACAAGATTCATTTCCAAGTACCATGGTTTTTCACACAGGCTCGCATAGTTATGCAATGTATTAGGGGAAAAATAAGTGCAAGTTTTACTTTCTAAAAACTGTTTACTTTCACAAAATAATAAATAAAATAAAAAAATGAATGCACAAAATTTAATGTTTACAGTAAAAGTATAATAAAAATGATGTTTTTATAATAAAAAAGTTCCCTAAAAATGGAGTTTCGATCAATTTATTTTTAGACCAGTAAAATGTAATATCAGGTTTCAATGTTATACCTTGTGAAATCAGTATGCCTAAAAAAACACAAACAGTCAAAAGTCTTTAATCCGACTCGTTGGGACTTTGGCGATTCGGATATCGGTTTTTCCGATTATAGATCATCAGTTTTTAATCTGGTAAGATGGCATGCAGAAATTAAAAATTAAAAATATGAAACGTAATTTATGAAATAAAGAGCAATTATGATCTAAAGGGTATCAAAGTTTACAAAAAAAAAAAAAAAAAGCTTAATATTTATCTGTTTACTTTAGTAAACATTTCTTTCAATGTGCCCATAGGTAGAGCATACATTATGCATAGTCAAAATTAGAAAATTGCGACCAGAAAACTATTTGATGTGTAATCATGATATTTATAATGACAAGGAATTTGATTTAAATCATATCAAAGACGGAGTACATCGAGATAAAATACTACATTTAGTAAGGAATTATAAGCGGAATAAAATAAAAACATGCGCCCTGAAGATAAGGATAGTGCTGACCGATCAACTTCCAGTTCATTGCGCGACGCGACGTTCCATACGAAGCATTCCATACATCCATGGTAACAATAGGTCATTATGTCGGGCATACTTTGCCAGTTTCAGAGCTTCTTCACATGTTGAAACAAAACTGTTGCCAAAGAAGTTGGTCAAGTCCTTTAGACGAAGAAAATTCCTTCTTCCAAATATAACACTTAGCATCACCAATGTAGCAGAACTTTTCGCTGGTAATAATTTGAGGAGATCTTGAGCATTCCAAAAGATTCTGCCTTGATCAATATAGCCTCGAACAGAATACAAATCGTTGAATTTAAAGAGGAACAGCATCATGGCGCTCTCTTAGACAGCAAGAGACGAAATAAATTAGCTTTAGCGCAGTCCTCTTTTTATAAGTAATGCAATTAACATGTCAGCATTCATTTTTAATAACTTTTAGTACAGATTGAAGAAGTATTATTTTTGGTACTATTCGGTTTTGAGGGCCTTAAAAAATCGCCAAACTATTGTTGATGCCAGTGCTGCCAAAAATAATTACAGCAAGCCTAACAAAGCAAGAAAGAAAGTATAATAGTAAATAACCATCTATGATTGATGTTTTAATTTAGATAAAAGGTTAATTTCATATAATACTTTTTTATTATTATAATTTATATAAAAAAGGCTATACATGACTAAATGGAAGCATAAGAGTAAATAACTATTTCAGATCATACTAGGATTCTAAACTAATGAGCGGGCTGTGCAAAAGAACTAATTTATTGATGGTAATTAACTACACTCAGATCTAATAAATGCTCTGGCATGTTGCTTAGCCGAATCCAAACGGCCAAGTGAGAGTTTCTCTCCATATCCAATAGGTGGGGCTGTGTTCTAACTTAACACAGATCATTACTATAATTTATATAAAAATTGCTAAACATAACTGAATGGATGCCTGCATTGCTATTTCGCTACATCTCGTCGGTTATTCAAACACAATTTTCCATAATGAATGATGCCTTTTCTTTGAAAAAATTCTCAGTAAAGTGCAGAATCGCCCACTTATCTGTTTACCGCTTTTTACAAGGGTAAAAACAATTGGATTTTTGCCAATTTTCTTTTACTTTTTAAGTGAAAATACGTCGATGTGTACACAGATAAAGTCAAGGGTGTGGGCAGTGCCACTTTTGTGCAATTCTCGGAATTTTTTTTGGAGTGAAAATAGGTCGATGTGTACATGGATACCGAGTATGTGCAATTCTTAAAAATGCGTCAAGCAGTGGGTGATTCTGCACTTAACCAAAATTTTACTGCAGATTTTTCGTCATGGGCAATTCCCAAATTGTTAAATCCATAGGATATCAAAAAGGAATTTAAAATCAAAAATAATTTAAAAATTAAACTAGTATTTCTATGGCATCTTAATATAGAACTATATAAATGTACGCAATCTGAAATCAGCTCATATGCTAGATTTGGCGCTCTGTTAAATGGACGTGTTTGTTAGATTTTGTGCATACATTTTCCCTGCAATTTTTTACGGTCCTCAAAATGGAATAGTACCATATTTTTTGGAAAGGGAGTTCTTGATTAGTAATGAATTTATATGACAACCACCCCCAAAAAAAGAAAAATTGATGTATTTAACAGTTATGACAATTCAACTGCATCAAATCGTTTTCACATCCTGCTGAATCATTAACTAAATATATACTGATGAAATTCCATAAAGAATTTGAGCTGTTTCATATTTGGATTGATTATTCCAATAAAGCCATATGTACCACCAATTTTATAATGAATGGAATGGATATAAAAATATGTTTCAATGTGTAATATTTTGTGTTCTAACCATGATTCATTTACCACCATATGTTTCTAACATAAATATGAAATGAAAATTAAGTAATTTAAGTGATATTATTAAGTATTGATGAATGGAATAAACTGTCAAGTCATTCATAAAATTATTTAAGTATCACTTTAAACAGGTCCTGATACAACCTCATTTTCTGTTTTATCTTTTATCACAGCATAAATCAGAATATTTTTTAACCCTGTTATTCTCAGTCTTCCTTTCCCTTTGAAAGAAATCTTTTGATAATTTTTAAAAAAGAAAAATAGAAAGCACAACTGAAAGACCAAAGTGATTAGCAATGTAATATTTAGACCACTTTTTCACCCTTCTCAAGTTCCTAGTTCTATTATTCAATTAACAGTGAAATTACATAACTGATTCTCAAACGCACACTTTTTTTTTTTTTTTGGTTGTTGTTGTTGTTGTTTTACATGACTTCACACTGTCATTTATAAATAACAGCAAATGCTTCACAAACCTCATGTATACCAAAATGTGCATAAGAATCAAAGTAATAATCTTTGGATGTCATTTCTTCTGGTTTATATGTAGTTAGTCCAATCATTTCTTTTTGGCACCTCCAACAGTATTTCCCACCTTTCTCAGGATTACTTGTTTCGCCATTTACTATGGGTTCAGATACACAAGGAGTGGCAGTTTCTGTAGTGCTAATCTGAAAAACAAATTTAACACAATTACAAAGGGAAACAAGGTAAAATATTGCAAACATTAGATAGATATGATGGTTAAAGTTAAAAAAGGTGAAAGAAAAAAGATCTAACATCCAGTGCACTTATTTTAAGAACTAATTTGTACCTGAATGCATCCCAATTTTATTTAAACATGCAACTTTTACACTATTTTCAGCATCAGGAAGCCTCTTAAAGGAACTTAAACACAGCACTAAAAAAAAAACTGATGTGCCAAAAATGAAACATGTTAAATAAAATAACTTTAAATCAAAATTTTATACGATAACAACTCAACATTATTCTATTTGAAATCTCATAAGCATATGTAGCCACATATGTCTGCCAAGGCAGAGATGATATAGAGACATATGCCTGCCAAGGTTTTATACTTAAATAAATCATAATTATTGCAACGGATGGTTTATTGCAAATACAAATATTAGGATTACCAGGGTAATTTCAGTTACTAGTTACTATGATAAAAAATCAGAAGACACTTCACTTTATATGCTTAATTATACACTGAAGAGCCAAAGCACTTGACCAAATACTCACTAATGCATTGAGCGACCTTTGGCTTGCAAAAGCTTGCAGCTTGCCTTGGCAATAATGCCACAGTTCTTGGTAAGAGACTGGAAACAGGTTTTACCAAATGTTTAAGAAGCGGGTCACACAAGTCGAATATTCCAAGAGTGGTGTTCAAGCTAGCTGCTCTCCATGACATCCCAAATGTGCTCTATCAGTTAGATCTGGCAGTTAGGTGGCCAAAACTTAATTGGAATTCATCCTTATGCTCCTTGACCACTCCAACACATTTGAGCTTTTTTTTTGTCAAAACACAAAAATTTCACAATATTTCAAAATTTGATAAACTCTTTATTACATTACCAATTTGAACTATGGGAACCGATTTTCTTTCTTTCTCATACTTAAGATAATTTTACTTCTGAAAAGTAAAACTTCAAAGTCAATAACAACTAAATGTTTTCAATTAAGAAATTTTGAACTAAAGGGGAAAAAAAACAAAGATCAAAGAATCTTATTGCTTCAAACCTATAAAATGAAATTTTAATATTTAATTCAAGGATTTTTAGCTTATTGCCTTATATACTTTACTAACACCAATTCAACAAGTTGAAAGAGTCCTGTTATTCTGTCCATTTTTCTTACAGGAATTGTTTCAAATCAACTCTGTTCTTATTTTACATTTCATACCAGGGTTGGTTTCAACTAAAAGAAACTGGAAGTAAATGAAAGAAACTGGAGAAATTGAAAGAAATAAAAATGATGCATTTGTGGAATTGCTAAAGGAGACAAAATTACTAATAACAGTTTAACTTATCTGAAATTAAATCTTTTGTTATTTCTCCAATGATATGTAAAGTAGTTAAATAATTTAGTACTGAAACAGGTTATCACACTACAAAAGGGAAAAAAAAATTTCTCTTTTTTTAACAGTACATTACATTGTATTAATGATATAGATTCAACTTAGTAATGATTCAAAATTCTTTTTTGAATAAATACATAAGTTTCTATTTTCATTATTGTTATTATTTATGTAAATTGAATAGTAACATTGTAGGGTTATACATGAATAAAATGCAAAAAAGACACAAAATGGAAAATGAAATCCCAACACCAAAAAAGATAAACAAAATTTAAGAACCATGTCTGCACATCTCAAAGATGATGTCTATTTAAAATTTTACACTAGCTGAATTAGTGTGGCATTAGTATCGCCGATATGAACATGCAAATCATGTTTGCTTTAAATATGAAATGTAAACATCATGCACTTTATTTATCTTCTGGATTAAACACTGTGAATGAAATTTGAATCAAGAATGCTTTCAAGGAGATGAAGATGGCCGTATCAGAAGCTTATTGAGTTTGAATGAGGCCAAGTAACAGGGCCAGGATATGAGGGATTTTCTTTTCACCATATCGCAGAAAGATCTGGCAGGGATGTATCCATTGTGCATGCATGTTGGCAACAGTGTATGTGGGAAAGTATCATCTCAAGCAGGCCAGGGTTTGGCCGCACACATCCATAACGCAAAAGGAAGACCATCGTATTTGCCACATGTCTGAGGCGCTTTGCATTCCATCTACAGCAGACATTCAAGACTCATTTGCTGGCAACTAAGTGAAAAAAGGAACTGTAACAAATCAATTACTTAAGGCACAGCTCAGAGGTCATAACTGACTCTAATCAGAATTTACAGTATAATAATCAATCCAATTCAAGCTCGACACAATTGAAGTCACAAATGGTGTGTCCAAATCATACACCATTTGTGACTTCAATTGTTTCAAGCTACAGTTCAGTTCCAAGCTATGTCTAAAAGTACAAAACAACTTTCTTTGAAGATGAAAATACAAATTCTAGACTCCTTATTAAAAGGGAAAAAAGGCATATGATGTTAATATTTTAAATGAATTTTAAAAAATACTTTGTTTTTAAAATACAGTAGTTGTTAAGTCTTGTGTAGTATAGTTTCACAAAACACAATATTTTCTACAAACCTATCTATTGTGTTATAGGCAAGAACATGTACAAAAAAATGTGTTGTAAGTTTTGAAGTTGATGCACACGTTTTTCAGCATCATAATTTAGTCTGTACTTCCTGCATGAACACACTCAAAATGTTTCATGTGTTACAACTGATCTCAAAAACTTTAAATAACTATTCCTCATCATGGAAATGGACAGTGGCGATACTCCCAATTAGTCTTTCAGACACAAACTTTCACATTTATTTTTAACAAAATAATATCTATTCTGCAATATAATTAACCAAAGAATAAACTATTCATTAATGTAATACTTTTATTAGCAAATTACTGATTCTGGCACTCAAGAGAATTTTTTTCCACCATCAAGTTCATGTAAAGAATATACTTTTACAAAATTACATACAGCTACAATTATTGTTAAAAAATTCCACTGCCTTACTATTATACTGTAAATTCTGAATAACTTTACGAAGAATTAACTTTGTTGAAGATTTTTTGCTAAATATATTTACATACAGTATGCTATTCTCATTATTCTACATGCTTATTGTACTAAATACAAGTATAATAATAGGGGGACCAGGAAGTAATGTTGTTTCTGCGCATGTCGACGACAACATGCAAAGGGAAGAAGTAGAAGCAAATTCATGTCAAACACTCTTAACCAACCTTGGTCGATCATCCAAGAACATTTAAAGTAGAATGGAAAAATAAGCAAAGCAGGTGCTTGAGTCCCCTATAATCTATCCAAAAAGAACAAAGCCAACCTATCCATCACATGCAACGTATTACTTCAATGCACCATACAGAACCATTTTTTGATCATTTGATTAGTGAAGACAAAAAAATAAGTTCTATATGATAATCCAAAACTCAAAAGGCAGTTTTAATAGGGATTACAAAGGGTTTACATCCCGAAAAGGCACTTATGGGTGTGTGATGGAGTATTCAATGAATTGTTCATTTTTAATGGCTGAAACCTGGAAAAACTGTTAATGTAGACTGTAATGTCACAATAATTGTAAACAATTGGATCTAGTGAACCAATCTTTAATTGAAAAAAATATCCTGGCTATTGTCAACAGAAAAAGCATCTGTCATTGTTCTGCAACACGACAATGCAAGACTGCACTGTGCAAGAAAAACACTGGAAAAATATAATTAATTGGGGGTGGGAGATACTACCTCACCCACCATATTCGCCCGATATCGCACCCTCAGATTTCCATTTATTCCGATCCCTACAACATTTTCTTAGTGACAAAAAATTTGAAAATTTGGATGATGTCCAAAATGCCATCTCAAGATATTTTACTCAAAAACCAATTGATTTTTATCGGTTTGGGATTGAAATCGGCCAGACTAGATGCAAAAGGTTGCTGATAACGAGGGTGATTATATTATTGATTAGATATAAAAACTTGTTACAAATTTATTCGTTTCAATTTATTGTAAGAAAGCAACATTACTTTCAACATTCCCCCTATTATTAAATGCATTTCTATATTAGAGAAAAAAAGCAACCTTCAACTAGTGTCATTTTGAATAAAACTGTGAATTTCTAGGGCTATCAGACATAAAATGGTTCACATTTATTTTGGAAATTAGTATTCTTGAAATTTATTTACATAGATCTTATAATAAATACTGAAATATAGACTTCATTTTTTTAATAATATACTACTTTTTCTTTATTTCAAACCTTGCTGGTTGCAACATAAATATCATAAAATTATTTAGTGTAATTTATTGAAAAAGCGGTAATCAGATATGAATTCTGATACTCAAAAGCTTTGATATGCTTTGGAAGATGATATTTCTTGTCACGATTACTTTAAATGAAACTATATTACAAGCATTATCATCTGCATTTGAAAATCATTTTGTTTAGCAAAATATAGTACCAGTTTGAAGTGATCATGGTAAGATGCTACTAAACAAACAACAAATTTTATTAGAAATTTAATGATTCATTATTTTTAAACATAGTAAAAGTATTCAAAAAGTCAAAGCCCTTCATATAACACATTCAACTATCTTTAATATTATAAAAAGATGAAAATTTTGCAGAAATGTTGAAAACTCACACTAAGGAACTGGCGATTTAACTTATGAAAACTCAAACAAGATCTAAAACTTAGTGGTGTAAAACTTACAGCAGATTTAGAAAGAAAAATAGTTGTGAAACTGCTAGAACAGTCATTAGGGCACATAGATCTGATGGGCGATCAGCAAGAAGGAAAATTTCTCAACAAGAAAACAAAATAATTATGCCTGATATTCGTAAAATTACAAGAAGGCAAAAATTCATCATACTGGAATAATATTGTGTTTGCAGACGAGTCAAAATTTAATATATTTGGGTCCAACAGCTCAATTATTGTATGGCAAACGCCTCATGAAAGATTGAATATGAAAAACCTATGCAAGATAATGGAAGAATAATGGTTTGCGGAT